CAGGGTGTTTCAAAACTATATGTCAGAAATGTAAAAGGCAGTAGAGGGGACCTAAATAAGCAGATTTTGTATAGGAATGTGGGTGCAAAAATGCAGTGTTCAAGTGCTAGCACGTAAGGCAGTACAGGTATACCTCGACTTACATCGTTTCGAGTTACGTCATTCCCGATTATACGTCGTTTGTCAAAAAAATATATGGAAAAATAAAAATCAAGTTTAAGTCATTTTATTTGACTTTACGTCTATCCGCCACAAATATTGAAGTCGTAATATCACTAGAAAAATGTTTAAAGCACATAAAATCATATTATAATATATACATTTACAAGTATAGGCCTATACTGTATTTACAGTATATGCATTCGTAAATTTAAATTACTTTTTTCTGTACTATATTAAAAACTAAAATTTATTTGTTTGTAAGCTTAAAATAAATCCTTATTCACCGTATATTATTAAAAATGCATTAATAAATAAAATACAGAACGGGAATTGGTAATTTATGGTTTAGCCTAGTGGCAAGTAGATTCGGAGACAAGTAAATTCGACTTACGTCGTTTTTCGACTTAAGTCGTTCTCCTTGAACCAATTACCGACATAAGGTGAGGTATACCTGTATTAACAACAGGTAAGTGAAAAGACAAGTAAAGACAAAGGAAAGTAACAATTTATTTATCAAGTGGTTTACAATAGCTGCTCAAAAGAGCATTCACCAACAGCGATACATAGATTGGCATATGTTAGTAAAAACGTCAGGCATGTCACACACATTTCCAGCAGCAACAGACAATTGGGCAACCAGATCTTCAGATGTTATGGGATTATCGTACACCATGCTCTTAATGTGACCCCAAGAGAAGAAATCCAAGCATGTTAAATCTGTGGAGTGCAGTGGCCAAGGAACAGGTCCACCCTGTCCTATCCAATGCTGGCCATAGACAGCATCCAGGTGATTCCTGACATTCCTGTTGAAGTGAGCTGGGGCTCCACTGTGCTGGAACCACATTCGTGTGCAAACAACTGGAGGAACATTGATCAGAAGTTCAGGTAAGACTTTTGTAGGAAGATGCTGTGTGTGTGGCCAGTTAAACAACTAGGTAGAATGTATGGTCCTACTAAGTTATTATGCACAATGTCTGCCCAAACTTTAATGGAAAATCTTTGTTGGTAGCCATGTGTTCTTGTGCCATGTGGGTTATCATGAGCCCAAAAGTGAGAATTATGGATGTTAAATATACACAACCGAGAAAAGTAGTCTCATCATTGAATAAAACATCTGCAGGGAAGGTGGCATTGGCTGCAGCCTGCTGTAGGTACCAGTGGGCAAAGTTAACACATAGAGGATAATTGGCAGGGGTTAATGCTTGCACTCTCTGCAAATGATACGGGTGCATTCCATCTTCATGTAAAGTCCTCCAAACAGTTGCATGGCTCACATCCAATGCACGTCCAACAGCTTTCAAGCTTGTCATAGGACTATCCTCTACTGTGCGTAATACTGCTTCTTCCACTGCGGGTAGTCTGTGATATCTTCCAGTGCCTGTATCACACCTGGAAGCATAAACCAATCCACTTGTGCACAACTCCCAATGAAGACGCTTGAATGTTCAGCAATCTGGCAGATTCCTACCTGGAAATCGCTCCATTGCCTTGTGCACTCCCATACATGAAATGCATGTCGGCAAGCTCTGCATTGGTGTAACGACACATGTTGCTCAAAATCTGTGCGGGAATGACAATTCAAGCCAGTGAAAGTGCTTTCATCTGCCAAATTCAACAACACCCTTTCATGGTATTTCTGCATTTACATTCCTATATGAAATCTGCTTATATAGGTCCCCTCTACCTGCCTTTACATTTCTGACATATAGTTTTCAAACACCCTGTATATATTAACTATAAGAGAATGAAATACTTATAAATTTTTTCGTAATAGCAATCAGTATATATTGAGAAGGAGTTTCTTTCTAATTCAATAGTGAGAAAGAGCAAAATGATGGGAAAAAAGTGTTATTGTTTTCATCTAGAAATAAAGTATAGATCTCATAATAAGCATTTTATTCAGATATAATAATTTCAGTTGCTGATCTATCATGTTAATCAAGATCTGTATAGCTAGAAAAAGTGCCAGAAGCTAGTGGGCTAGTGAGTCAACTAAGAAAAAGAGAATTGAAATATAGTTTTATTAAATAGCTGGAAGAGAGAAAGTATAATATAGGTGAAGACTTTTAGCAGCTGGCATTCAGAAAGAGATTTAAGGAATAAATAAATTAAATTAAACACAAATGAAAACATTTATCTATTATATACCTATAAAAGAAAAAGATAATGAGAAGATTGAAAGGAAAATAAGATTATACAAATAATGTTTTTCATATTTATATTCTAAGCCAGGGATCGCCAGAGTGATCTATATTGACCCCTGGGGGTTGATATAACATTATTGGGGGTCGATGAAAAGACTAAAACTTACAAATTTTGAACCGAATATTGCTAATCTTGCTAAGGATTATCAAGCTTATCTGTCTTATTGATTGTCAGTTACAAAAATTATTATTAACATATGTACAATAAATGTAAAAAATGTAAAATTAAAAGATATATATTAAAATAGTAAGAGCTTGTTTTTTTGCTTGTAGCAAACTTTTTGGTGGGGGTCGATGTGAGGTTTCGAAAAGTTGTAGGGGGTTGACGATCAAAAAAGTTTGGCAACACATTCTAAGCTATATAAAATATTTTTAATATATTTCAAATTTATCAAATATATTGATAACTAACAGTTTAATTCTAAGTAAATATGGATTTAATATAACACACACATTTTTAAAATGCATAGATAATAACATTAAGTTCAAGCCATTTTTATATTAGTATATCCTTCTTATAAATTGAAGATGCCAAATTATTTATCTTTAAATATTTTGATAATAAAACAGTATAAAAAAATAAATTGCATGAATTTATTTCTTCATAGGTAATTTTGTGGTTGATTGCTATATTTTGTTTTTTATACGTATATATTTCTTCTTTACTCCTCTTTCTTTTGTGACTCATTTTATTTTCATTTTTCTTTTGAATTCTCTCTTACTGTACACCACTTTCATGGACTATCCTTTTTTCCCCTGTGGAGAACAAATTTGATGAACTGGAAAGAAGGCATCTAGATGGAATAATGGGAAATTTGGAAGGCAAAGACTTTTACACATGAGCTCAATTAGAAAGCCACAAGTACTGAGAGAAAGAGTAGACCTAATGTCTTCTTGGGGAGGTGAATTGACATCCAAAGTGTTAGAGATAGGGATATTAAATTTTTTCCTTTGTGTTCCCTCATAAAGTCCAGATCAGAGGTGGGCAACCTTTTTGGTATGTGTTCCAAATGTTACACACTAAACAGCATATAACCCAGGATTCATTTTAAAAAATAAATATCCAACATCTTTTTATAAATTTTTGTTTCATAAAGAATTTATCTGGTTATATATAGAACCATAAGCAGCTAACTAAATTTTGTAGTTTTTCAACCATAGAGTATTCTTATTATATTCAACACCATTCTACAGTAGTCACAACTGAACTTAGACCAAGCCACAGTTAACATGCCATCCAATAGATAGGTTAAAAAAAAGTAGCTTTGATTCAGTGCATGAATGTTTTACATAATTTAAAACAAATATACAGTAATTAATCTTTATTTTTGCTAAATATCAACTTGATATCTTGCAAGTTTAACAAAATTGAGCCAGTCAAATTTGACTCACAGGTGTCATGTTCAATGAATGAGTCAAATCCTAATGAATCAAAATTATTATTTTTTTAAACTTATCTATTGGATAGCATGCTAACTGCAGCCTAGTGTAAGTTCAGTGGTGACTACTGTATTTGTGACTACAGTAGAGCCTCGAAAACTCGGCCTAATGTGGACCGAAGGGTGGCTGAGTTTGTGAAAATGCCGGGTTATCGGGAATGGGGTTAAAAAAGGATAAGTATGCGTGTTTCCTCAGAAAATATTGTACTGTACTTGTATGTATTGTTTGCTTGAGAATACAACAGAGAATAAACTGCCCAAATACCCTTAAACAAAGGAAAAGTGTGTCCTTTATGAAGGCATAGAGCCTTTACTACATGAAAATGAAAATTAATGAATACACTGTGTACAGTAATTTACCTGATAAGACAGACCTCAGAAAAATACCTTATGAGAGCTTTTATACTTTTATAAAGCTGTCTATAATGAAAATGAATTAACTAAGGATTTTTTTGCCCTGCCAGGGTGTGGCCAAGTTATCCGGAGTGCCGGGTTATCGAGTGCCGAGTTTTTGAGGCTCTACTGTATAAGCAAATATGTAAAATTCCAAATGATTATGTAAACTAGCAAATTTTTGGTTGGTCCAATTTTCAAATCCCATTTTCTGATGGTTCCACATTTATCTGTTTGTAGTTTTCTACCCATGTGGATTTACATACAATAGAATCTCATTTTAATGGGCTTGAACCCATTAAAATGAGATAAATTTAGATATAACCAAGTATGGTTATATCTAAATTAATAAGTTCTGGAAGATCAGACGAAGATCTGGATAGTGTAACTGGCAATACTACTGTATGGTAAGCAGGAGTTGTGGGTTCGTTCAAGTCCTGCTTCAGGCCAGTTGTTTTCTTCCAGAACCTTCTAAATTAATTATTAAAATATTAATTTAATTATAATTATTAAACTTAGCAAAAGATAGTGCATAATGCCTGTCTCTAGTGCCAAATTACTTAGCATTTAATTAATAATAGTAATAGTAATGTATCCTGATAATTCAACAATCATTTGGCTTTGTTATTACTTAATAGAACATTTGAATATTTTGAATTGGTTTTTCCAAAACAAAATGAATTTAAAGTTAACATAACATAATGATTATGTTGTAACAAATAATAAACAAAATATTTTTAAATCCAATATTATTTTTCAGTTTTACACTTAATAATATATTGCATCTTTTTAATTATTCTAGGTAATTATAAAAGAACAAATTTAAATATGCCAGAATCTGTTCCACATAGAATTGGTGGACCAAGAGATTTTTTTAAAGATTGTCCACTTACAAAAATTGGTTTATATCAAGCTACTCTAACAGGTATTTTTGAATTATAACTATGATATATGAATAAAAATTAATGAAGTACTTATAATTCGTAACATATTAATCTTTATAACTTTATATTGTGACAATGCCAAAGGGCCTCCCTCTAACTTTAAAAAAGTTACTTTGTTCTGTCTACAATAAATATAAATATAAATAAATATAACAAAATAATATAATATAATTAAAAAAAGTAAAATTGAAGTAACTTGAATTTCAATATTGAAAATATATATACTGTTACAATTTCAAAATCTTTAACAAAAACTTTTGTAAATTACTTTAACTGCAAAGCAAATTGTTTAACTGTTAAGCAAGAGAAAACAGGAACTTTGAATACAAGTAATGTGAAGTACTGTTACAAAACATAACAGTATTACAAATATTTTTTAACACAATACATGCAAAATCTTTGCTAAACTTGTAAATTACAAGCAATAGTATAGGGACCTAGAAAGTATTTCATAGTTTACTTTTTTCCTTCTTTGCAGCTTTAACAAAGCAGTGTCTTACTTGTTTCTCACATTTGCTCTGATAAGAAAAAACTTCAACCTTTTGTAGTTTCAGTCTGATACACAGAGTACTAGCAATCTTTCAATACTAGATGTACTGAAAAGTTGTTTGCTTTCTACACTTGTTGAAGGAGCAGACAAATATTTTCTTGTTTGGCTTAAAAAAGGTTGGGAATTGATGTTGACTTTTAAATCATCAATTTTCTGGATCTTCAGAATGTACTAATGACAGTTCTTTTAGATACATCTGAATTTCCTCATCAACAATTCTGAGTCCAATGCATTCCTATAAGCTGGAAGTAGAAATTCTAGGGACTTGAATTAACATGGACAGGTAGATATCATTAACACTCTTTTAACACCATTTTCTATATACCATTTTCTCTAAATGTTTGAAATGATTAGTAAGTACTTTCTGAAATGCTATTTGTATTGTAATAATACCAGAGACATCCATATTTTATTGCTTCAAATAGGTCCAGCATAAAAACACATGGAATAATCTCTGAAAATTCAGAAGTTTCCATCCTTATTTTTGAGTGATTTCTTTGAATAGTTGCATAAGTTTCATAAGCTTTCCAACAATTATCTGCTGATTACATGTGAGATTGTTTTTTGCAAGTTATGTTCAATAGCAAAAATACAAATAGTTTCTGTTCTACAGGGTGGGTAGAAAGTAACTGGAATTGAAAAATTGCTATATTTCTAAAGCAAAAATAATAAAAATTATTTGAAGTGTCATATTAAATGGAAATATAGATGCATTTTTTAAAATTCAATACAGGCACCAGCATCATCCACCAACTTCCTCAAATGACTTGAGGATGAAATTCATAGACTTCTGCAGGAACTCATGTGGGACATTGATGATGACATCCAAATCCATGCCTCCAATTCTTTCAGTGTTTGAGGTTTTGTTTGGTACATCTCATCCTTTGCCTGGTCTCAGAGGAAAAGTCACAGGGCATGAAGTCTGGACTTCTGGATCATGATTTGGATGGATGGCCATTTCTCTGTGAATCTGTGATTATTAGCTTTGAATGACAATTCTTGATTGTTTCCAGACAGATTGTGGAATGGTGCCCCTTTACTGAATGCCACCATCTCTGCATAGCAATACTGATTTCCACACCTCATAACATGTAAGATTGCTTGCTTCTGAACAGACAAGCATCAGCCATTTTTTTTTTTTTTTTTTGCAACTGTGCATGCTGCTCTCTTGATTACTGCCCACACCACCAATATGGGAATTATAAAATTCCATTGATTGATGTACTGTATACACAAAAATTTTATTATGATGCATTATTACAAAAATTATAGCAATTTCTCAATGTCTAGATACTTTCCACCTACTCTCTAGAATGCAATCTAGCATGTGAAAACATCTTGTTTTAAGGTGTTCTGGCACTTTTACTACTTTTTGAATTTTTATGAGGTACCCCATAGCCAAAGACGAATAATGGAAATTGCCAATAATACAACAACATACTGTTAGTGTGTTCTTAACACTTTATTGAGAAAAAAATTGAATCTTTTAAAACCGACTGAAAGGTATATGATAAACATGGTGAATGTTCCACATGAAGATAAGAGCTTACTGGAACTTAACTTGTTTTTTGCATCATCTGCTGAAATTGAAGTTTGTTGGGAGGTGTCAATTTTTTATTCATATATTTCATTCCACTTTTTGCTTATTCTAGCAGCAGTATCCTCTCCTTCAAGATGACTGATTTCCAAGATACATGAACAACAATTCAATCCATTGAGTATTGAAACTACTGTAAAGCTTTGGTTGGTAATTGATGTCCATATGTCTCTGGTGAAACTGAGATAATCAACTTTCAGTAATTTCTTACCAATCTCCCCCTCTCAAACTAGTTCAAGTACAGCATTTTCCTGAAAATACTTTCAACTCAGAATGTTATATCTTGGTTCTAGTGTTTCCATCAAGCTCTTAAAACCATCATTTTCAACTAGTAGGTAAGCCTGAACATCTATTGCAATCATTTCAGTAATGCAATCTGATATTTATTTAGCACATGGATGATCAGCAAGAAAGGTTGTTTTTATCTTGAGAAATTCTTTCAACAGGAACTAGCTTGATGATTTGATGAGCACATAGCTGCTGGTGTTCCTCAATATGATGGTCATATTGTATTGCTTCTTTATATTCTTCTGCATGATGATTTGTCAGAAGATTTTTCATGCTTGTAGTATTAAAGATTTTAGGAGTAGAACCATGCTGTGAAACTTGTTGAGCATAGCTGACAGTCAGGAAATCTTAAATCAGATTCTTCAACTTTAAAAAAGTTTCCAAATAATACACATTTTCAGCAATTCACTTATGAACTTTACATTTATACACAACTAATCACTATTTTCCACTAGTGCAAAATGAATTATTCACAAACTCATAACTGCTAGGGAAGTATCACTTTCATTTGAAAGAGAGGGTAAAAAAAAAACACTAAAATAATAACTTACAAAAATTAGTGAAGGTATACATTAGAGATATTAAGTAGAACGTGAAAAGTTTTTAAATTGGGTGTTAAAATACACAAAGATATGAAAAAAACAGTAATTAAATTTGTTAATAATAATAATAATAATAATAATACCACACTCACTACACAAAGAATAGAAACACACACAACACACTACAAAAAGTCACTATATTGAATACATGTCATATTGGAAATTCCTAAATACACACACACACACACATTTTTAATTTCTGGTTTGTTTTGGTTACTATGCCTTGACTCTAGTCCGGCTTAGTACACAGCCACTGGTGTCAACCAAGTATAACTCACAAAACTCAGCATAATAATAATAATAATAACTCTCCCATGGTCACCACCTGGTCGTGGTGGGATAGCCCAGTAGTTTTACAGATCCATAGGGCAATGCAGACTGGAGCACAAGCTCCTGGTAGGGACACCCATGCCAATAAGGTCTATGGGGAGAAATGAAGCTAAGAGTGACCACACACCCACATTCTGTGGAGATAATTATTATGGTAGTAACCAGATCTAAGTATGATACCGGCTCGGACGTCGCCCGGGTTAACAAGGTCCGCGTTCGTGGGTTAGGCAGAGGCTCACGTTCGAAAAATAGGCTCCAGTCTCCCTTGGCTACC